AAAGGCAGAAAAGATATAATTGAACACGATAAGAGGAGATGTTGGATACTAATATCAATGATATATCAACTCCTCCCCCCCCTTTCCCCCCAAAAAAGAAGAAAAAACCAAAACACATGTAGAAAGATATGGCTAATGAATAGAAAGTCCTTTAACGATGAAATTTATATATAAATAAAAAGGCTTGAATGTTAAAACTAGATAACATTACACATATATGCATGGAAACATATTTGTTGATGTGGGTGGCCATTAATGCTTATATCCAACACATGAATAAAAGGAGATGTTGGTTATACGCCAAAGAGACAGTGGCCCCAAAACCAAATCAAGTAAATAGGAATTAAATGGATTTTGACTAACCATGCTAACAGGACACAATTTACATAAAAATGACAGAGTTCACATGAAAATATCTATGCATTTTGGTTTTTATACATAAATTCTAGCATGTTTATATAGTACACACATTCTTATTTAGTGATTTTATATTCTATGCTAAATCTAAAAAGAATACAGTTAGGAAGCTCACTTTGCTTCTTAAATAGTTTTTGTATTTCTTGTTAACTGTAAACCACCTAGCAATAAGCATGATACATTATTTATAGATATTTATTCATTGCAATAATACATTTTGAGAAAAGATGCAACCTTCACAACCTTTTGTTCAATAAGACGCATTAAATACATAATGAAACAATGACCACATTTTGTTAAATAACCTTTTTAAAAGGACAACTGTTATGACTTTGTGCATCGTTTCCGGAAAATTAAATTAATAATATTGTTTTATTTTGTTAATTAATATTATTTTGAACCATTATAGAAATACTCATTTTCAATGCTTTATATTATTAAATATATTCATTTAATTGATCTGTTTTGTTGTCCATGACTCAGAAATTATTTGAAAACAAATATACTAATAATGCATTCTTGTTAAATAAATCACCTATAGATAAGAATTTAAACAGCAAAATATATGAATACTTACTTTGTAGTCAAATTCAACATGAATTTTCTCAAATTCTATTTTACATTACCATGATTACTTTAAGTGTTCTTCAAAATGCAAGACATTATTATACATCATCCAAAAGGTAATTAAGTAAACCAGGGAAATAGTTAGAAACCGGTGTTAGTAACACAATATATGCATATGTACATGTGGTTAATTTTTGGTTAAAAAAAATCCAGTGACAAATATTTCATGCCAATATAGGACAAGACAGTGAACAATACATTACCATACAATATGTATAGGTCCTATGAAAGGCCATCCCGCACAACCAAACCAATGCCCTACTTGAAAAGGGTTTAACAATTAGACGACAAGATCAAGAGTGACCTTTTTCTATTCCCTTGTCACCCTTGGGGTGATGGTTGTGAAGTGGATAGGGGATTGAAAAGTTTAGTCAGATTTATGAAGACACATGATTAACATGAGAATTTCACTAGCAATAGGTGACTTTAAACAATCAATTTTGTTCTAAACTGATCTGATTTTTTGTTCAATATGAACATTTGCACAAGTCACAGGTCCTTTAATAAATGAAATGTCATGTTTTGTCACACATCAACATCCTCCCAAGGATAACAGGTCAGAATTTGCCATGTCAGCTAGATCCACACATACAGTCTACACAGATGGGCACAGGCTTTTCAGCCCAGGCATGTAAAATGACTATCAGGCCTGTAAAAGTTTCTATCATTCTGCCAATATTGATGATTTTCCTATTTTCATTTTCATCTAATAAGAGATTTGTCAAGGGCAAGATGAAAAAAGGAATGTGCATAAGATCACTAAGAGAGTGTTTGACTTGGGGTTTTCAGCATAGAAAAAAAATGGATTAAAAAGGGGGAGGGAAAATGGGGATTTACCTGAATTTCAATGATGCATAAACTTTTTACAATCTTAAATCCTAACTGCCTTGGAACATGCTACTATGCAGAATTGCGGCGAAAGATCATATAGGATAACATCATGTCGATTCTTACCTGTACTGTAGAAAGAATTTGGAAATTTTTTCCTTCAAAATATTGGATGAATGATGATGATAATGATGATAGATTTGCTTTAAAATATTGTTCATTTCTACTCACCGAATGCAATTTCAAGCTCAGCTTATATTGTGGTCTAACTAAACAACTGTAGCTTCCTTTTTTAAAATGCTGTTTGACGACCACGGTCGGTCTGCCGACAGGAATGCAACAAAACAATAAAGAGGATGAACCGTTAACGGTGAAAATTTGTTCCGTTTTTGATCAAATTTGACAGATTTGATTAATTATCATCGACAAATATCCCTCATGGATAGCACTTCAAATAAAAGCAGTTATTGTGCTGTATAGAATAGGTAGTCATATTCTTTAAATTTACTTCAGGTACACCGTCGTTAGTTCGTAATCCTACACTTCTGCATAATTTATCAAAACAATTTCAAATATGAATTAAAATGAATTCATTAGCATTATTAGCATCTTCTGCAATAATTCCTAACCTCTTTTTTAAACGGAGCCTTTTCATATGATGAAGCAAGTTATGAACAATTCTGAATAAACGGAATATTAGATAAAGATACCTAAAGGATAGTCAAACGCACAAGTCGAAAATGAACGGACAATGACGCGGCAATAAACGGGAAACGACAAAATGATCAACAACGATCGCAAAAAAGAAATAAATAATAATAAAATAAAACCCACAATAGATGATAATAATATAATGTATTTGACAGCACCAACGTCTGAAAAGTTGACACAAACAAATTTTAACTGTCCCAACTATCAAAAGGTTGGGATACACACTATACAACTACCACAACAACAAGACTGTAACAAATAGTATTTGACTGTGACAACGCCGTAAACAACTGCACAGTCCTCAAATGACTGTGGATAATAATTTATGTTTTTCACAACCCCTAAAAGTGTTGGGATAGGCATGAATAAGCTGTTACAACAACATAAGGCAACTGTCACAACCCTTACATTTCTTATCATTTGATTTGAAAGTCATTTTTAGTCTTCCACAGACCAAAACAGTCGTACAACGACTGTTACTAATATGGACAGTTGTTTTTTCGTCCACTACTCCGAAGTTTTATGTAAGAAGCACAACCTGCTCAGGAAGTCCGTTTAGATTGAACATACACGAGCGCAACGTATTAACTGAGATATAAAAAATTCTTGTTGACGTGAGCAGAGGCTATGTTAATGCTGATAATTTTGAAATTGACAATTGGAAAATTGAAATATTTACATTTGTCATATTCTAGTCGTTCAACGGTGTCAATATCGAGGAAATATTAAAATATCAAGCTGACCTGTACCGAGTCATGAATATGACACTTGTTTTCCGTTCGTTAGATGTGTTTGAGCTTTTGATTTTGCCATTTTATAAAGGACATTCCGTTTTGAATTTCTCTTTGAGTTCGGTATTTTTGTTATTTTACTTTTTTTTATTTCTATAAACTGTCGCTTATATTAAATACATGAAATTTGTAGATACAAAATATATAGGTCCCAATTCAATCTGGCTATAGGGTTTCAAAGGAAAAATGATAGCTTTGTGTTTGAATTTTACTTATATAATTGTATTATATTCAAGTGAGAGAGCAGTTTTATTTAGTGATGGATATAAACAAATTTGACCATTGATCGATGTATATGAGATAACTGGTAAATTATACACATGGTAGTATAAATGGGGTCTATAGAATAGAGAAAAGGTAAAATCACAAAAATACTAAACTCCGAGGAAAATTCTAAAAGGAAAGTCCCTAATCAAATGGCAAAATCAAAAACTCAAACAGATCAAACGAATGGATAACAACTGTCATATTCCTGACTTGGTACAGTAAGGAATAAGTGTGTGCTAAATTATAAATAATAGATAGAAAAAAATGAAGACCTTCATAACATGACCCTAATATATAGTATGGAATCATTCGAACTTGGATAGGAACAAAAATAATACAAAACAGGTATACATCAAACACGTAAACACACCTACCTACAAAAGCAAAGACATTTAATTTTAAACGATTATCATTTAAGTAATACAACAAAATTAACCCACACTGAATTCAGTATGATCATCAGATGCGTATTTAAAATCACATAACAAAGGACAAAATAAAATTAAGAACCACAAAAAGGAATGCATACTTTTATTTTTGGAGAATGACCAAACAAATTAAACAAATATTGTATATCTATAAGATAACTTTTATTTTATTGTTTATCTGCATTATTTTAGCTTGTGTACTATATAACATAAAGGTAATTTGTGATATCATTAACATGTCCTAATTGGCACATTTAACAGAAAATTGTCAATTAACACTAAGTGTGGGACAAAAAAGATACAACTAAATTAATGCGACAGTAGAAAACCGGTGTTAAAATCCCGTAAATTGATTAAGAACAGACAAATCAAGATATCAAACAAAGTAACTTGGAGAATCGTAGAACTCCGAAAGAAGGAGACTAGATTTGTGACAGGATCAGCGTCTTCTCCAATGCATGCAAATTCACAATCAGTCAAAATGTCATAATCGGTAAATGTACAGATCAGGCGACTATAATAGAATCTTAAGATCTAAGACCACGCAAAACTGTTGCTAGTGTGTTAAGACACCGACAAATCGTATCGTCAACCAATTTGTAAGGTTGACGGTAGAACTAATGTTGTGTCGAATTCTGTCGTTCTTCCTTTTAACTCATTCAATATATAACTTGACTTGATATCTTGGTCCATGAGATTTTAAGATTAAAAAAAGGTTTGTCCATAGTTTACTTCAAAATTTAATTCTTATCCTAGTATCTATGATGAGTTTATTCTTATCTTGACATCACACTTGTGACTAACGAGGGGACAAACGGTCGGACATTTGCATCACTATATAATCCCTTTACGTGCGAAGGTATGAAAACAGAACAGATATATTAAAATAGTCTTATAATAATAGATAATTTTTATTTTGTAACAATCCTACCTAGTTTTGGAGTCTTTGTACTTGTATGTGATCCTGTAGAGGGTTCCTTCATAGGGCAGCAAGCCAAAAATAAGGAACAGTGTTCTAAGATTTGGTCATAGGTACTTGAGCAGCAAGTACTATCACTTGTGCACAACATGGCACACTGGATTCGGGATTTTGCTTCCACTGTATGAACTGATGCTCCATTTTGAACTATTCTTATGTTTGTGTTGGTGTTAAACTTCTGTGTTTTAATACCAAAACTTTCAACATATTGTGGAAAAAGTGCAAACACAACTGCTGTTCTTATATAAAACATAGCATTCATTGATAATCCGCTACCATTTGAGAATATGGTTTTGTAGTTTTACTGTATAGCGTCTTCGCACAATAACCAAACAAATATGATGAGTCTATGACGATGTAACAAAGTGATTGCTTTATTGTATGATATATTGGTCTATTGATTTCTGTCATAAATAATTGAAATTATAATTTCAATAACATCACATAAACATTTTGGAAATGTATTTATTTTTCAATGGAGCTTGAAACTTGATATAAGAAAGTCGTATGATTTCAATTGGTCGAGCTTTTAACTCTTATTTCATGAAATTAATGTATGACAGATCATCAATACATTTAGAAAATACTTGGAGTAAATTACATTTTTCAGTCCCATGAAAAATATACGATAACCAATGCAAAACCTTTATTAAGTGTAGACACCTTTTGCGTTTACCGTAAAAACGTACATTTGGTATTACAAATCTACGAAAATTAAGAAGAAGGGTACAAAGCGTTAGCTATTTTTCCTGATCTTTCAATCTTAATTAAATTTGGTAGTTTCGATTTCTGTCGTTGTTCCTTATTTTTTTTTCATTTTTTAAAGTACTGGTTAAATACAATAGCTGCTGGACTATGAGTTCCCGAGGGTATCATCAGCTCAGTAGTAAGTCACTGCTTTGATACTGACATGATTTATGACATACATTTCTTAAATTATTAAGACACTCAGGTCCCTAAAATAAATTAACTTTCGGTCGATTATTTTAAGGTATCATTTACACATATTTATACACCCTCGGCTTTCAAATATTTTGCTTTGGAAAAATCGCTTTGGACGCAAAACATGTATGAATTGGTGTTTGTATATTTTTTGTTTAAGTGTGCAGAGGAAAGAAAATTCAGAAAGTTGTTCCGGACTTACAAAGTTGAACCAGTGTAGCTTTCATTGAAGTGAGAGGTATAGCTTTAAAACAAAGTTTAATCCACCTTTTGTTCTACATGAGAAAATGCCTGTACCATTAAGAAATATTTCCATTCGTTTGATGTGTTGAAGTTTTCAATTTTGCCATTTTCAGTTTTGAATTTTCTATGAAGTTCGGTATTTTTCTATATCATATTTTTTACTTGCTCTGAGTAGGTTTTTTTACTGTCTTTGGACTGTTATCTATTAGATCAATATTAAGTGCGTATATACTAAGACATATTCCTAAACTTCATCGTTGAAAAAAAAAGAAACTAATGTTTATGGCATTTTAATAGAGAGTACTTTTAGGTTGGAACTTTGTAGATATATTCGTTGTGTCCTTTATATAGATCTGATGAGTCATTTCTGTTAACTGATTTTACCATTTGTTTTTAATTTGTTGTTGTTAAATCCCCTTCCATTTACAGGAAAGGTTGATCGCTCGTGAACATGTTGAAACCCGCCGAATTCTATGCTATCCAAGGTCAGGAGCCTGTTATATGGTGGTTGTTGTTAGTCGTTGTTTATCATATGTGTTTTGTGGTTATAACATGGTACAGTCCTGTACATCAACTAAGCCAAAGAGTTTTTTCATTTAAATCATTCTATTTTTGACATGTCGGGACATTTTATTGATTAATATACGGTATGGTATTTGCTCATTGACGACTACTAGTTGCCTTCATCTACCGATTATCTGTTGTGCAAACACCCTCGAACTGAAATGACACAACGTAACGAGATTCTAATTCATTGTGAACATAATGTACTAAATCTTGTATGAAGGTATTATTTTGTTTGCCTCGAACAAAATATTCCATTTGTTAGAAAGCGTATGAAGCCGCTGCCAATAATTCAGGACTCGTTATGGATCGTTTTGAATAATGTCGTAAAAGGCATGCTTTAATTAGTGTACCAGTACACTCGTCCTAATCCCTGGAGCATTATCGACTACTTTTAGTGCAGTGTATTGAAATGAGTGTAACATATACTAAAATATTAATGATTTCTAGATTAGTTTTATTGACAATCAAATATCTGATTATCTTTAAATCGGCACAATAACACTTATTGCGTAACAATTCAGTAAACACGGTAAATATTTCATAGGTACTTTTGATGTGCAATATTTTAAGCTATTGACTAGTATGATACATCAAAACTTCAATTAAGAAGGCAATTTCATTTTACTATGGAACAGTGATGCATTGCATAGTTATGACTTACGCTTATGAAACAGACATTCAAATTAAAAAAAAAGATTATACTATGTTAGAATATTGCAATTAGTATTGTCAAACTTAATTGAACACTGCGTTGTAAGTAGTCAGTATTTCTGTGTTGACACGAATTATCATTGATATTGTAATATTAGTAAATCAACTGTTTACAAAACTGAGAATTGTTCGAAATACTTAGGACTTTCGACACCAGAAATAGACTATATTAGCTGTATTTGAAAAACCTTTCGGTATGTTTTGTTCTCAATGCTCCACCTCTTCGAACTGTATTTGTTTGGCCTTTTAACATTTTTTTATTTGGGCGTCCCTGTCTTTTGTAGAAAGACGAACTACAAGTCTGGTATCTTCTATAAGTTGTTTTTAAATTTTTTATTGGAATGAGTGTATGTTTCAAAGGAATAACAGAAGAGATTATAGCATTAAAAGATATCAAACCTCGTTTTGAACAAGCTTAACAATATGACATATTGTTTTAACACTTGTATGGTATTTATGATGTTGAAGACCATATATTGACGTAAATAACTTTTTTAGTCGGATTCCTGTCTGATCTGTATAAAACGTTAAATGTCGGTGATTTTGTTTGGTACTATATATCTTTATTTTATTACCTTGATGTATACTTCACAAATAATACAAGATGGTCCCGAGCGATAGATAATAGGTCCTGAAGTTGTGAACTTTTTATTAATTCACAGTTTTCCTTTTATTTTTTTTTTTGTGCTATTACGCTCTGTTTTCATATGACTCTTTAGCGTGACTCGGATTTTTTTGCTGACGTTTTTGTCAAATTTCATGTACACTTCTCCAATTTGAATTTACAAAGAGTTCCGTAATTTTGTTATACTTTTATACATGTACCAATGAGTTGTCTTTACCTACTTTAGCCCTGTACTTCTGAAGTCACACCTATTCAAATCCGTTATAAACATAGATAGGGTAAAAAGAGAATTAACATCCGTTTAAAATTCATGACGCTTTCCTTTATGATGTTCTCTCCTCCGTTTCAAAAAAACAAGCTTTTCAAAAGAGTGTTATAAATTGATAAAAGAGAGACTCCAGATACCCGAGGGACATAAAAACTCATAAATCGAAAATAAACTGACAACGCCATATAGGTTGTAGAATTATTACAGCGATTCAAGTATTATACACCTACAACAAAGCAAGGGTACATCTAACATAGTATACAGCAGTTCCATATATATCGCATCTGGTGCAGTAAAATAGGTACCCGTAATGTTAATATTATAACTGGTCGATACTTCTGCTGGTGGACTCTTACTCCCGAGGGTATCAACAACCCGGTAGCCAGTACTTCGGTAGTGGAATGAAAAATAAACGTATAATGTGTTTTTTTTTTTATTTTTTGTTTCAAAAGGTTTGACATCATTTTAAATTAAGGACAATATCTCCTTCATGCTAAGCTCTGATTCCTTCCATGGCTTTGTGGATATACCATTTGTCTTTTTTTGGTTTATAAGCTCTTCATTTTTCTTTAAAAAGTTTTGGATTTTCAAAATGTTGATCTCGATCATCACTGAATAATTTTGTTGTCGAAATTCGCATCTGGTGCAGTAAAATTGGTACTGTTAATGTTGTTACTATTGATGATGCCACTAAAGCTTTCTCTTAAATGACTCGTACACTACCAACAATTTGCCTAACGTTTACATGTACATTAAATGCCGCTATATAAATAGTACTTTTAGGAAACATAACTAATCAGTGCATTAAATGCCGTTATATAAACAGTACTCTCAGGAAACATACATAATCAGTACATTAAATGCCGCTATATTTACAGTACTTTTAGGAAACATCGTTAATCAGTACATTAAATGCCGCTATATAAACAGTACTTTTAGGAAACATCACTAATCAGTACATTAAATGCCGCTATATAAACAGTACTTTTAGAAAACATCACTAATCAGTACATTAAATGCCGATATATAAACAGTACTTTTAAGAAACATCACTAATCAGTACATTTATTTATATATCATTTTTAGTAATGTTGAGAAAAAATTGTTTTCAGTACTGACAATTTCAGTCATTTTTCAGTACTGAAAATTTCAGTCACTTTTCAGTACTGAAAATTTCAGTCATTTTTCAGTACTGAAAATTTCAGTCATTTTTCAGTACTGAAAATTTCAGTCATTTTACAGTACTGTAAATTTCAGTCATTTCACAGTACTGAATATTTTAGTCATTTTTCAGTACTGAAAATTTCAGTCATTTTTCAGTACTTAAACTTTTTGTCATCTTTAAGTTCTTCTACACATACAATATTAGGTCAATGTCAGAAAAATATAAAATGTTTGTATGAGGCTGAGAAACTGGGGAAGGGCGAGGTTTTACTGAGCCCTTCTCCAGTTTTGTGCCGAATACAAAAAAGTTTATATCTTTATGACATTGACCTAATATTGTTTTTATACTGCAACTTAAATTAATACATTGATAACTTTTTAAATTCTAACTATTATATATTAATAACATAAATATCAAACTTATTTTTATCCCCTAATGAACCCCTGATTGTGGAGAAAGTGTTCCATGATGAAATTGACATTGCACAAAATATAGAAATCAACGACAACGGAAGCCCGCAATAGAACGGTGTTTTAATCTTTTGCTGACGACAACTTCAAAATCTACTCAGGACCAGGATTCTTTAAGGTAAAAAGTTACGAATTATATCAAAGTAGTTCACATTTAATTTGGTTAGTATGGTATGGTGGTCAGGAAATTGAATATGATG